CCCGCCCCAACCGCCGCCAACCGCCCCTCGCGCCCGGCCCCGCTCCGCCCCAACGCGTCCTGCCCGCTTCGTCCTGTGGTGGCGGGGATGTCCCCGCTCCTCCCTGTTTGCTGCGCGCTGAGGTGAAGGGCAGGACCGCGGCAGGGGCAGAGCCCGTTCTTGGGCTCCGGTGAGCAGCGTTTTTCTGATTCAGTCCTCATTGCTCCTGAAAGTGCTGTGCTCGCCACAAGATGGCACTACGAAACCGCACTGACAGAATTTTTTTTCCTCTCTTTTTTTCTTTTCCCTCAACAATGCCTGGGCACCTGGCTATGGTGAAGCAGAAAGGCAGAGAGGAGCGTAAAGGGTTCTGGCATCATAACAGCAACGCACCCTGCACAGGCTTCGAGGAGGGACCGGAGTTAAAGGCATGCAGGTTGGCCAAAGTGAATATTTCTCTCCCATTTTAACCATAGCATCACTTCCAGGTCCAAAAACCACTAGCAGGTTTTGGTAGCTTTTGTAAAGGGCTGCAAGAGAGAGGAGTGGCTGCCAAAGGCAGAGGGCACTGCCTCGCTTCTYGTCTGGAAACCAAAGTCAAACCAAGCTCTTTTTTTGTGTCAGCTGAGTCCACACACCTGGTGCAGAGAAATAGGAGTGAGTATTAAGAAGTCCCTGCTGCAGGTCATTCAACCAGTGCTCTCGGGCTGGTAATTTTGTATAACTGTTACCAGTTCTACCCCCAGAGGTAACTAGTTACAAATGGTTACATCCTCAAATCCATTCATCCATGCTCTATCACTAGGCTCAGCCCTGCACAGAACTATTGGTTTTCAAGTTGAAAAATAACCATTTGTTCAGACTGAGCTTAAAAGCAAAATTTGTGACTGAAATTAGTCTATGTGACTGAAAGTGGTTACAGAGATAGACCCTGATTGTGCTTGTGTAAGGCAGGAAAACAGTCTGTTTTATCAAGAAATTCTGTCAGTAAATAAATCACTAGGGCAGCTGCAGCAGCAAAATACAATGAGGAGATGGGGAACTGCCTTTCTAGCTCTTCCTTGGCTTGTAGCTCCAGACAACCCTTGGAAGCTTCCCTGAAGCAGCTGCTGGATGTAACATGAGTAACAGCTAACAGGGATGTTCAGTATCCATCCCAGAGGAATACATTGCAGCCATAGTGTTATCCACATGGGATATGCAGGAAGCAAAACACAACCTGCCTCACTCCTTAATGGACATGGCCCCTGCAGAGGATGCTCCAGCAATGGACAGATGATCCCTGGCACCTGGAAACAAATTCCTTCTCACTCTGTGGAGCTCTGGGATAACCTCACACTTGCTCACTCCCTAACACCAGGTCTCATCTGCCCCCCAGGCACCCTGTTTTCACACCTTCTCTGGTAGCGCAGGATGGGCACCCAAATAGGACTAAACAAGGAGCTTAGGAGCTGTGTGGTCTGAATTAATGAATGCAAATTAATTGTTCTCTGTTTTTATCACCCAATTCAATGATTGTAGAGCCCTGGGACCTCGGAAGTCAAACAATATGCAGCTTACTGAAATACAACCACTAGTTCTCCCACTCTTTAAGGTGTTTATCAGTGCAAGCAACCCTCAGCACAGGGACTTGAATCATGAGCTGGTCTTATTCTCATCAGCTCTTTTTTTTTTTTTTTTTTTTTGGTCTGTATTGACAAACCAAAATAACCAAAAAAAGAGGAATCTGAGGAATTGAAAAAAAGAATCAAGTTTTAAGGGATGGAGAGCAAGATGCTTATGTGGTAAAACCAAACCATCACCCAGAGAAAGGTATTCATTTTAATGAAAATCTGAACAACAATCAGATCATAACAACTAGACTCTGCCACCACAGACAGACACAGTCGCAGCAATCTCCGTTTTTCCCTGAGCAGATGAATTATATAAATGTATACAATAGAGTTGAGAGGAAGTTCATATTTCAGGAAACRGCTACAACATATATCCTGCTACAGAGCATAGATAGCAAGTGCTCTCTAGACTAAAAGAAAACTGTAGTTGTGCTCAAAAGTCATCTTTCCTTCTCCATGCCAAGTTTCAAACTGTTTGGAGACAACCTATTTAAACAAAGGAATCTTTTTTTTTCTTTTTTCTGTCAAAATCATTAGCTCTTGGCTGCTTCCATCTTGAAAAAATCAATTAAGGGGGAGGCTTTTTATTTTGTAATGGCAATAGAGAATGTGTGCCATGGCTGTCTCCTGAAATATTAACTTCCTGTCAAGTCTATTTTATCTTGACCTGCAGTCAAGATGCTTATCACACAAAAGGTCCATGGGGTCTCTGTTTATTCTAAGCAGAGCAGAAGGATGGGAATTTTCAGGAAACATGATCCTCCCTACTATATTTCTCTACTGTATTTCCCAGTCCCTAGAGAAAATTTAAGTAAACTAAGCCCAACACATGCCGCTAGCACATGCACAGGAACTCTGGGTTCTCACAACACGCCTGTCTCCAAGAGCACGTTGTACTGCAAGCGCTCGCTTCCCTGTACTGCACGAGAATCACTGCTGTCCAAAAAACCTCACTGATCCCTTCCCAGTCCCACAGGGTCAATTAGCCACTGCTTTCCCCAACTCCAGTTAGGGATGCAGACTGCCCCTCTTGTATGCAGTCCCACTGGAAAAAGCAGCATTTGAATCCACTTTGATTCAGCAGYACGCCACCTCCGGAACAGTACAGCAGAAGTTGGCTGTTCTGCCAATTGCTCAGAGGCTTTGTGGGCCAGATCACGAAGCTCCATGGAACTATGTGTTGTATACATGTTTCTGTATGTGTATTCCTACTAGAAATGCATACTCAGCCTTGCTAGTGGCTGGACTCGAGCGCATGGAGCTGCTGCAGCCTTCCCCATATCAGACTGCTGGATTCAGCCTCCTTCTAGCACTACGCTGCCTAATAGTGACCTAACGTAGGAGACCAAGTAGTGAATTCTTTTCCCAGAACACTGTAAGTAGCACTTCAATCAAAACTTGTCCATGACAATACACAAAAGAATCCAGAAACGAAACACTTAATATATTTGTTGCAATTTTGAAAGCATCTGAAAGATATGGACTGTTTTATTACAACAGCTCCCTGTTATCCTGAGGTTGCTGGTCAGGAATACTACTATCACTTTCTAGCAGTCAATCTAGGAATTAAAAGGATTTGCTTTCTCCTTGTTTTCTGTGCATTGTAGAATTTGCAGGTAGTCTCTTGGCTGTTATCTCTTTGGAACATCAGCATAGTGGCATAAGAAAGGGGCAGACTTGGTAGGTTTTGGAAGGTACAGCTCAAAAGAAAAACCTTAAGACAGCTCTTCCAAGAAGAATCAGAACCGACCAGGAAACAGAAGAACCAACCTATCTCCACACTAGAGCACCTGTCACTGTTGTGGCAAAGACTACAGACCATCTGGAAGTGGGCTAAAATAACCACTGCTTTCACCATTACTTGGTCACAAATCACATAGGTAAGACGGTCTCCATGAGTCCCCCAGCAAGAGAGAGGCAGAATCTCCCTACRCCAAATCTCTCCGCTTCAAACCTTTCTTGAGCACTTCAAGATTTTGTTTCTCAAAGCTCCTCTGAGAGACAGCAAAGCAAACATCGTCCTCTTCTCAGGGTGCCAAGAAACAAAGGCACCTACATAAACGATCAACTAAAGAGATCTACTAGTTGTATCTAAAGAGATCTACTAGCCTCACCTGATCTGCAAAAGTGAATGACAGTGGGCCAGCACTGACTTAGCTGGCATCATCAGTGGGGAAGAGGATGGTCACTTTRAAAACTCAGCTCATGATCTGTTTCTTCAATCAGGCTAAAAACACTTGGGACTAAGTCCCTCCTATTCAACTGGCAATGTGCTGCGGATATGGAGAGAGCACAGAGAAAGGCACAGTCCTGCAGCTCCAACTGCTAGTACTGGGTTGGCCAGGTGGGGTGGGAAAGGACACAGGCATCTTGGGCAAAAAAATCCTTGCAAGGAAAGCCCAAGGAGGTATCAGAACAAATGAATAACAAAAAGAGACAATTATCAAATCAGATTAGCCATACCCTTCTCATTTCTCTACTAACATATGTAAAATATCTACTGGAATATCCACCATCGCTGAAGARGCACCAGAGTTGAAGTTAAATACAACTACTTGAACTTGGATATCCAAGCTGAAGGAAACATTGAAGGAGTGTATTCCAGGGCTGCTATTAAAACAGCAGAAGTATTGTATAAAACCTTTCCCTATACAGGAACATTAAAATGAGAAACATTAATATCTTCACTTTGCCTCAGTTACTCTTAATTTCATCATTGCCTATAAAAACCCCAACAGCTGCTCTACAGCAGGTCTAAAAGCAGCCAAAGGGAACTCAGTTAAAGCAAATTGATTATGCAAGACTGCAGATTGCTCCTAGCTCAGGACATCTTGAGCAATGTTGTACAAKAGAAAATCTTGTTCTTCTAGAAGGGAACAGAGTTTTGCAAAAAAAAAGCAGCAAGAAAAAACCCATGCTGTTTACATGGTTATTTGACACCCTCCATATTTCCAGAGGACAGAGATTCCAGAGCTGCTTGCTAGGAAGAACTCTTCTCCTTTTTGTATTTCTGGTAAGCTTCCAGTATCTCCGTGATGACACTTGGATCATCAAGTGTGGTGGTATCTCCCATGTCATTTGACTGTTCAGCAACCACTTTCCTCAGCAGCCTTCTCATGATCTTCCCTGATCGAGTTTTGGGCAGGCGTTTCACTACCTGCAGAAAGAGGAAAAGAGGAAAAGAACAAGATCCTGCAGGATGTCAGGGTCCAGGGCACTTCGTCCTTTTCAGCTTTGCTTCTTACCCCCTGCTTGTGGTATGCAGCAGCGGTGCAGCTGCTGGCTCTGCACCAGCACTCTGCCTCCACGAGTCTGACATGAACCCACCAGCCTGGCTTCCTGGCCTTACCTTGGGCCCAGCCCATCAGTAAAGAGCTGCCAAGTCACCACTGTCTCTGATCCTGTCCCAACTTGCCACTCTGCATCCTGGGTCCCTGCTGGTGAGGTCACTGCTCGTGTCTGCCTTATTATCATGCTCTGCTCACAACTCGCTCCCTGCCATGTAGCTGCAAACCACATGGAAATTTAGCTGAGCTGTCCTAAGCCTGGCACTGTCCCATGGCAACGGCTCCTTTAAGCCTCCTGGGAACTACACATCAGTTTATGTCCAAGGGAAGGAGTATCACTAGCACTTCTTGTTTTATAAAGTTTATTCTTATTTAAGTAGATTTCTCCTCCTTTACTCAATGCTGTGTATCTCTAGGCTAGGTGTTGCAGGATGCATAGCTCTTTGGAGAATCAAGCCATGAATAAGCTGTTAACTATTGAACTGGAAGTGTAGTTAAAGCTATCTGCAAACATACCCTATGTACAGGGTAGGAACATAAAACASAGAATATTGCAAGCTAGCTACAAGGTTCCCTACTGTAGTCTGCTGAGGTCTTTCTCACCTGATCATATCTGTCACCCTAYATGGCTTCCCTCATAGCCCGGTGAGCATTAAATGTCTTTGATAAGCTCCCTGCGAAGGGCTTAGGGGCAGATGCAAAGGTGTTAGCAGAGATTTGAGCCTCACTCTCCAAGGCACGAACAGACACACTATTAGGCCTCATATCTTGCTATACATCCAGGCCAACCGTCTAGAAAGCTCTGAAGCATTAACAGGTATGATGATTAACAGACGCAGGGAAATGGCATCATTCTGCCCATCAGTGTCACTGGAGTTTTTGGTTGTTCGCTACATTTCACAGGAGTTTATATAATTCTTTGCACAAGGCCATGGGGTTCAGCGTATATTGCTTCTGAGCAATTACTGAGTTAGCTGAGGACAAGATTCATATAGAGCAGTAATGCTGCAACAGTCAACAGGAACAGGCACCTGGGGCTCCCCTTTGCCTGAGTTCTTCCCGAGACAGGCACTCTCAAGTCCTCTCCGTGCATCCTATTTAAATGGTTATCCAATATATGGCCCAGCAAGGCAGACCCGGGTTGCCTAGAGCACACTCTGCAGAAGTCCCGTGGAGAAGCTACTCCGCAAGCTGTAGCAGCTGCAATATTCTCACCACCCCTCTGAGTGATCCCCAGGCTGATCTCCAGGTGCGCAGGAGGTGTGTACTAAAGTCACTGCATCCTATGTGCTCTCCACTACTCAGGGATGCCTCTAGTTAATTCACTTTCACTGAAGGGCAAGTTGCTGTGCCCTTCAAAAGAGGAATAATAAACTCTGCAGACAGGGAGGTGAGACTTGCTAAATGTGGCTACTGCTGCTGGGGGTCCTGGTTATAATCTGCTACTTACCAGGATGTGGTCAGGCACAGCATACTTTGCTATCTTGGAAGCCACTATAGTTTTGAGCTCTTCTTTGACACGATCTTTATGAGTTGTCTCTTCTTTTACCACTATGAAAGCAAAGGCACCTGGAATAAAACGGGCAGAAGTCATATACCTCAATATGAGAACCTGACTGACAAAAGGGCCAAGAGCAGAGACATTCACTTGGATAAGGATGCAGCTGTCAAGTCTTTCTGATGTTCCCAAGAAAATCAGAGCTCTTGTCTACAAAAGAAGAGTGTAAAATTCCAGACTCCAAATGACAGCTTAACTTTTATTTCAGCCTCTGTGGATCGGACTGGAATCTCAGGGACAATGACAGTTCAGCAGAAAATACCTAAGTATAATTGGGATCACAACCTGGCCAGCAAATATTAGTTCTGTAGCCATGAAAAAGCCAGACAGAGCCAGAAAGAGTGACTGTATGTCCCTCAGTTGGGTGCAGTACTGCTCCCTGAACTCCTTTGGCACATAGTGTTTCCATACACGGCAGGGCCATCCCGGTCAACCTAAGGGTCTGGATAGCTGGCCTGCCTTCCCTAGGCACCCCCTACACATAGCCTGGGTTAGAAATTAAGTAATGCATACGTGTGTGTCACATCAGCCACTGCTTTTCACATACCTTCTCCTTTGATCTCATGTGGATACCCAATCACAGCCGTCTCGGGGACTTCCGGATGATCAGCCTTCACAAAAAGGAGAACAAAAACACACAGAACGTAACAACTGGTTCAAGTCCCGCGATTTGTGCCAGCCGCTGTAGGAACAAAAGACCTTGCAACATGGCTGAGGAGCCTGTTAATCTCCCCTTGGCCAGATCCTGCTCTAAATAGAACAGGATTGCAAGATCCCACCTCTTTTCCACACAGTCAGCTGATGTGATCATGGCCATGTCCCAAGTGCGGCATTTACTTACTGCAGTAGCCCTTACATACAGTGCTAAGCCTCGTCCATCCCAAACTGAATTAGCTTCAGCTTAAAAACTGCTCTGTTTTCCCTTGTCTGTGCTCTCTTACGTTCTTGGCTACAGTCTCACCAACCAGTGCCTGGCCGTGACCAAGTCCCAAATAAAACCTGCAATGCCCTGTGCCACAGGAACTGTCCCCAGCAGAGCAAGAGCAAAGCTGCCAGCACTACAGTTCACATTGCCAAAGCACAAAAGGAGATAGGAGGGATCAGGCCTTCCTGCAAGCAGAGGAAAGGATGCTTTGCTGAATGCTCCACAACAGTGGTTTATGCTGCTGCTCATCAAAATTTAATCTGACACTCTTCTGCAGTAAGATGATAGTGGTGCTGCACAGATTTGAATCTCATACCAAGACTGGATTTTGCCGTTTTAAAAGTAGATTAAAATATGAAAGAAAATGTTGCAGAGCAACATAAATATATAAATGCATATATGTACATACACACATATATACACACATATATGTAYATACATATAGTGGGAGAGGAACTGGATCCTACAGCCATGATTAGAACTCTACACAACACAGGCAAGAAATTCATTCACAGAGGACACTGTAGAATCCTATCTGCCATGTAAATACAGTTCAGATTTATCATCTGCTACCTCTAAGTGTCATTAGCAAGCCAGACACATAATATAGAAATAAATATTCAGGTCAAGCTTTGAAGATAAATCTTTTGAGGACTTTTTGTTTTCAATTCCCTGAGCTAATATCATTTTCTCTTTAAGCGAAAGGCTAGTTTCACAGCTGACACAAATCAAGGCTGCTTCAAATTTAAGCTGCTGAATTCTCAGGCACACTCAGCTATTACAGAGGAGCATGAGCCACCGATTCAGTAAGGAAAGGTTAGTTGTTAGCTCAAAGGATGGAAAAGGAAGAACAGCCTGTTCCATGCAGAGACCTCACTGGCATCCACAATTACAACTGCAACAGCACAAAGYCAATGAGAGGAAACGCAGCCCTAAGGGTTCAGCTGCAGGGACTGCGCATGGCATGACTCCTCTCTTCCTTGCCTGTTTGCGAGCTGCTTACTAAGAGGGCCATTTCCTTCTGCATATTCATTATTCATAATGCATCAAGCCGTATATGTGCAGGGACAGCGTTCAAAGGCCATGCTGTCACCCTAATTTAACCAGACCCTGCCCTGGTATAAAATCATACCCCTCCTTTCAAGGGGCCCTCCTAGTCCTGCTTATCTGACCTGTCATGGGACCTCCCTCTACCCCCAACTCACCATAGCATCTTCAATCTCTGCCGTCCCCAGCCTGTGGCCACTGATGTTAATGACATCATCCATGCGCCCTGTTATCTGGTAATATCCTTTCTCCGTCCTGTAAGCTCCATCACCTGTGAAGTAGTAACCTGCAGGAACGACACGTGGGTAAGAAGTGTGCCAGCAAACTGCTTCAGCCTCTGGTGCAAGACACGTTTATAGAGAACAAATTCAGACTTCTATGCTCAGCTGTGCAGCCCCTGGGGAGTCCTGACCCCTCTGCTGCACTGTCAGCCATGAGCCCTGTGAGACAACTAGGAGATGCACTTCCTAAAGACACTCTGCCTCACAAAGAGAAAAGCTCTCTGGACACAGCTATCAGACACTTGCAGGCCATCCACAAGAGAGTGAAAAAGACCAAACCCAGTGGTTCACACATCCTGCAATGCCATGAGAGCATGGCTGGTGACACAGATTATGTGGACTCTTCACTAGAGCCACGTCTGCATCTCAACTGTTCCTGTGACACTTCTCAGCTGCAGGTAGTAGCAGTGCAAGCAACAGGCAGTGCTGTGAAATCTGAAGACAGATCTTTCCAGGACTTGTTACCGGTGAGTTCATGGACCTTCAGTAATGCCTCCCAGCCTTCTAAGCTGAGAAACTATGACCCTATTTTAAATGCCATCAGGATTTCAGATGCAAACATGTAGTGAGTAATAAGGAGATATGGCTCTGTTAATGTCAACTGTATCAGTTTCCCATTATTACATTCTGCCCCATTTTGTACAACTTGGAGGACTGTCTCTCTGATTCTTCTCTATCTTCAATGCTTCCCAAGCCCTTTCAGATGCTCCCTTGAGTGCAGACACTGGCCTTGTCCAATCTCCCACAAGGATTTTCCCCTGCCACTTCTAATTACTCGCCACATAAAATGTGACCATGTTTAAAAAGGAAGGATGCAATAGAAGCTGTCACTGCAAGTGTGAGATTCAGTAAGACACTTCAGTAACACTTTCCCATCCTATGTTCCTGTCTTCCAGTGAGACAATAAATGATTCCAAAGAGAGAGAATCTGGGCTTGTATTCTGGGCATTATAATTTCCCAGATAATACGTTCCCTTTTGACAGCTCATAGRGTCAAGTCTAAAACTGTACTCCCTTGACACCCTCCTTACCTGGGTAGGCTTTGAAATAGGCATCAACAAATCGCTGGTGATCTCCATAGATGGTTCTGGCCATGCCAGGCCATGGCTGGGCAATGCAGAGCGCACCAGACACATCATTTCCCTCTATCACCTTTCCCTGCAGGTTCAAGCACAGAAAGGATCATCAAGTATGTGAAATAGAAAAAACTGAGCACTTCTGAGTCACTGATCTGGCAAGACTCAGCCCAGTGCTCAGCACAGACTGCAAGTGGAGGGCTACGTGTGGAGTAAACGCATCGACCAGCGGAACTGCCACAAGCCATCTAGGTTGTGCCATCCTCACCCCCTGAARCCAGCAGCAGAGCACACAGGACAGTTATCGGAGGGAAAAAGTGAGTCCTGCRATTCTCCAGAGAGGAACGCCAGGGGAGATGACAGCAAATATGTGTCCAGAGGATGTCTGGGAAGAGACTGGCAGGGAAGTGCTTGCACTACTGTCTTCTGCTTTAGCTTCAGTGAACTGACACATCCCCTTACTAAACTGTTTATTAAGAGGATTCCAATTTTTTCTCTTTAACAGGGCAGTGGAGTGTAGACTGGGATTGCTTAGCTCAGCTTCATGGACCAGCATCACTTCTCTCTCAGACATCCACAGCCACAAGGTCTCATGCCTAGCCAAGAGGACTCACACCCTGGGAAAATTCCATCGGCCTCGCTGGCTGCTTTAGCCTTGACGTGTCTCTGGTTGTCCATGTGTAGCTCCCATGCGTCACTGTGCAACTTCTCACTGCTCTCACAAACAGAAGCAGCAGCTCTTAACCAGAAGTGGTGAAAGAAGATAAAAGTAAGGTCTAWCATCCAAACATATCTCCAGAGATTTTCAGATAGCTTGCAACACCCCCTTGGCAATCTCTATAGGCATATGAGATACGCTGGGATACATAAATTTCACATCTGTTGTACCATTTTAAGAGAGGAACAAACATTCCTCCTAGATCCTTTTCCTCGGGCAACAGAAAGGTGATTAAGACAGACCCATGCAGCAGGTTCTCTTCTCAGCACCAGGCACAGCTCCAACTCACATTCTCATCCATCAGCACAGGAACAATCCCAAAGAAGGGTCTCATAGCCATAGCTGGAACGATCTCAGCTTTTTCCTCTGAAGGCCGTGGGGCAATGCAGATGCCACCAGTTTCTGGAAGAATAATGAAAAATGGGTCTATGAGGTGCTGGATGAAAGCATGTGCCAGCTCTTCGTGGTTAAAAGAGAGGACAGGGAAGCGCCTTGCAAGTGACAGCTACTGGGAAGAAACAGTGCCACGCCACTTAGCAYAGGTGTCTGAAAGCAGCACAGACGAGAAACCAAGAAGTCTTTATGAGCACCAGAAAGGCTCACACATAAGAAAAGAGTCTGGCAGGCCAGGGTGACACCACCCAGGCTTACCCTGTCTGCAAGAAACATTTCAGCAGGTAGGGAGCGGAGTCCCCCTTCTTGCAGAGTTTTACTGAAAGTTCTTCCCTTTCCCTGTTTGCACAGTGCCTCAGTCAGTGCTGGCCGTACGGATCTGACTTCCAGCTCAGCTTCCCAAGAGCTCAGAGAGGACCCTGCACAGACCACAGCAGTTGGCTTTGCATGAAGAGGCCCGAGGACTCTGCAGCAGCAGCAGACACCGTGTGTGTGTTCAACAGCCTTCCCATGGTCCCCTCTATGGCAAATGATGGGATGAAGAGCCCACTGGTACAGCCCACATCCTCTAGTCCCAGAATCTGTCCCTAAGTCACACTCAGGTAAATCCGTTCCTCCAGCTACCAACCAGCAATGAGTACAGGGACCTCCAGTACACATCCTTGTATCCTACTCTCAGATCAGCATGGAGCTGGTGAGATGCTGGTATTTATCAGTCCCATTTCCTGGGACTGATAAAACCCCTCAAAGGATTTYACAGGAAAAGTCTAAGTGTGTCAGGGGATTTTTCTCACTGTGCTGTTTTTGCTGCACTCTGTAGGATAGTATAGAAAGCTCTTCAGGAGCCTGAATTACTGTTATTACAGAAAATGAGAATAACTCMACCACCACAGGCAGGCTGAGATTATCTTCTACTCAAAATTGAACCTTTTAGTCATTCTTCGTCACTCTCTCTGGGATGCACRTTAGACCAGTTTTCAGCTTTAATCATATCCTTTCTATTCTAAAAACTAATTCAGAGACACAGGAGAGAAACAAAAACACAGGAATGTAGGGTTTAGGTATGAGAGCAGGGGAACTGATTAAAGTGATGGTTGCTCTTCTTAAGCAGGTACTCGTTTGCATACAGCACAGCAAACTGTACTTCAGTGTGGGCTTTGTCAGATCCAACACAACCCGCAGCTGCACATCAGCAAAGTCACGTTCCAGAGGCAGCTGCACAGTGGCAGAAATGCTTTAAAAATATTTATTTGAATAGTTAAGGGTTATGCAAACATGTGCATGGAGGTTCCTAAACTGGTTTAGAAGTCCTCATTTTTGGCACTGACAGAGTAGGAGGCTCTGCCCTGCYCAAGACCTGCTCTGCTCTCCTCAGAGGTAGAGGTGGCAGAAGGAAAACCTGTTTACGCCTTATCTGCTCCCATATTGTCAACTTGGGCAGGGGATGCATAGAAACAGGTTCGCTCCTGCAGTAGATAGGTCACTTCTGGCAGCAGGGAAAAGCATGAAGCCTCCATGGCTGCTTTCTTAAACCACCACAGCTAGACGGGCCTGTCTGCCTCTGCCTGCTTCGTGAGGGAAACCAGCAAAGCCACAGTGGCCCCTTCAAACACTTTAAGGTAGTGTCCATGCAGGAGCCCTACAGCARAACTGCCAGGGCCTTTTCAGAAATGTCTTTCAACTCTTATTCATTCTACATATTGTTGTATTGCATACAACAGCTGGATTTCTGGTATAAATTCAACAACAAGTAAAAATACCTAGTGTCTCTCCTGCAACAGACCTGATACTTAACACAGCTTTGATCCTATTACTGTCAATTACAGCACGGATATTGCTATTTAGTATTTCAGCAATAATGGTSATAGAAATTTTCTACCTGTCATTGGCACATACCACAGAGCTTAAATTGCTTTTCATAATCGCTGTCTCACTCATCTGCTCRTCCAAAATCTTTCAAATCGACTCTTAAATCATCATTTGTTGATCTTTATGCTTGCTGAGCTTTATTATCAGGTAACATGTTGCTGCTTTGGGCAGCAACAGAGCATAGAGGACACTGTATACAACAGTTCAATTAACCAGCTGCACCGAAATTGTTTGAGGTGGCACTGCAGCACCATAAGCAGCATCCATCAGACTGTTTAGAAAATCTCTTTCCATGCTCTCTTTGTGCCCAAATGACATATATAATCTTTCCATGATTAATTTGGCTTCCTTTTTATTGGAAGCATCGACTTTGGAGGAAGATTGATTCTCCTTTCTAGCAAAATCAATTTTGTAAGCATTTATCATTATATTATGCTTCCAGGGGATGGTGTTTGCCTGCAAACCCATGCCTAATTCAAGGTAAGCATCAGGCACTCTGTATGAACAGGCTGTCCAGCAAATGTGCTTCAATCTCTCACTTGATAATTGATGCTCTGAGGGAAAAAAAAAAAGGAGAAATACAGTTTAATTTTTTTTTTAAGATCTTAGAGTGAAAAAAAAAATGTTTAGGAGACCGACCCTAGTTAACTTATGCTAAAGCCAAAAATATTGGAGGCAAAAAAGATCATGTCTCATCTCCATCACTGTACAGCAATCGACCGTTTTCTTGGCTGCACTTCATCTCAGATCAGTGAGCGGAGGAAAGCACACAGCTCGCAGCCGCGCAGGTCTTCTTCTCAGTGTGTGAGAGCCCAGATGGTTTAAGGGATTACTTACTGAAGTAGATAGTACATAGAATTGCTGCTTGGAATTCTGAGGCTGTTTTATTTGAATCTGAAAATAAAARCTCTGCACATCTGATTTGGATTAAATGTAACTTGGTTGTGTGCCAAAAACTAGCTCATCACATTGAGAAACTGGCCACGTGGATACTGAACAGAGTCTGGCAGCAGTGGCAGACTGTGTGGATGCACTTCCGCCAAGCTTTTGGGAAAGAGCATTCAAGGTGCCTTTAGCAGCGGGCTATATGAGCCGGCAGAGGAGAGGACTTGCTGCTGAGGTGGCCAGGAAGGAGCTGCAGGGCCCCACGCCGCAGAGTAGCAGCCTCTTTCACGCAGATGATGATGAGCAGCTTTGCTTCACCCCCAGGAGAGCACAAAGCCGGAGGTCTGCATGGGAACACTGGGAACAATATATTGCTGGTTGGGACATAGGAGGAACCAGCTGTGAATTATTTCCCTGCTGCAACTTGGCAGGGATCTGAGACCACGGCCAGTTACCCCTGTCACTGTTGAGCAGGCTGTAAACGGAAGCCAGCCCTTAACGACACGGACAACGTAGGGCCAGGTCAAGCATGTTGCCAAAACAGAGGCGCATTCTCCCCTGCACCCACAGCCAAAGCACCTACAATATGCTGCCTGCCTTTGCTCCTGCAAGAGGGTGCTCCTTCCTGTCCCCGCTGGATAGGAGCCCTTGTCCCCACGCCTGATGCACAGCCAGCAAGCTGTAACTGATTCCTTTTCAATCAGCCAATGTCTACGCAGCTCATTTTTCCTTGCTACTCTGATCTTTCTCAAGAAAGCAAACAAGGCACATTTAAGTATGATTTATGGCAATATGGTGCTATAAAAGCCTTTCCATAATAAGATCATACCAAGGTCAGGCCAGYTATGGAAACAACTTCCATGAGGCTTCCAATTCAAGCTGCTTTCTCCCACTTGGGCCCAGGAATTCGTTTTCTTTGTTTTCTAGAACTGCTGGAGATTTTCCATCACTCAAAATATCAAAAAAGATTTCCAAAGAAGAAAAAAAAAACCCACAAATACTGCTATTGCTTTTATATTTTATTACAGTGCTGCTATGTGCAGTGATTTTCAAAAATTGATTGAAATATCAGGACGGATTTTTCTGGCATGCTCTTTTGGTCAAGTTGAAGTGCACTAATTCTCCTGCACCACCTGCACCTCCTATCCAGCACCACCACCAAGATGTTCCCATCAAGAGTCAGGYCTGCACCCACCCAAGGAAGCCCCTTACCTGTCTGCCACCAGGTGTCAACGAGAGTGCAGCGCCCGTCTCCCACCACGTGGTAGAACCACTGCCAGGCTTCCTTGTTGATGGGCTCTCCCACTACATTCAGAGAAAGAAAGGAAAGAGACTGAGGCGCAGGGGGTTGCGGGCAGTTCATTCTGCCTTGCTGTGCAAAACATGCTCATTGCAAGATCTCTAATCAAGATGCTTGCAGCATTTTTGCTGAGATAGGCAGAGACTGCAAAGCATTATGCAATGGGGAAAGCACCACCAGGACCACCTAGAACAGGTGAGTAAGTTCAAAACAGTGCTGTTTACCAGTAGGTAAATCTTTTTAAACCAAGAATGCAATCCTGAAAAAAAAAAAAAAAAAAAAAAAAAAAAAAGAGAGAAAGAGAGATAATCACACTAAACTGCAATGGCACCAACTTCAGTTTGTTTCTCTTTATGCTGAGGCTATATCTGAAAAGCCAGATGGAGAACCTGCTTTATTATCAATTTATTATCGATTTACAACTATATCCCATCTGGTCAGCCAAGCTTCTTTGGTATCTGTTCATATCTGCTAGAACCCTCTGTCTTTTTCAGATGAAGATTTTGTGCCTCTCACCTGATCCCAGGGTCTTTAGGGAAGATCTGTCATATTTCTTCACCCACTCATTTCCATACTTCAGCAGCAAGCGTACAGCCGTAGGTGCTCCATAAAATTGATTAATTTTCAACCTTTGCACCATTTCCCAATAACGACCTGCAAGATCCCAAGCAGCCCATTTATCTGTCTAGCAGTGGAATATGCTGCCACAAATGCCCAATGCAAAGGTTAACAGCTAAAGCTGTGACTAATATAAGTACAGAGCAAAACCAACAGCACCTTTTTTTTTTCTTTCTGACCTTGGATGTGCAGATGTTCCTGAATGTTACAGTCACATGTTCCAAAGAAACAAAGATAACATCCCCCGAGTAGGCAGGTGGACAGGTTTCTGGACACTGGACAGATTTCTACACCTCCTTTTCCCATATACTGCCAAGTCCATCCAAACCCTTGCTCTCCATTCCCTCACCTGGGTCAGGGTACACTGGAGTACTTTCAAACAGCACAGAGGTGGCTCCGTTGCAGAGTGGTCCATATACAACATAGCTGTGTCCCGTGATCCAACCAATGTCAGCCACACAGCCAAAAATATCACCTTGCTGGTAGTCAAACACATACTGCAAAGATAAATGTAAGGCCAGCTGAGTTCCTCTTGGCAGGTGCAAGAAGCTCAGAGGTGAGGCACTAGTTCATGTATGTCCCTTTGGGAGCGAGGGAGCTTGTGGGGCGAGCGGAGCCAGGCAGGTAGGACACACAGCACAAAGACCAGCCCAAGGGGAAGAAGCAAGGCAGAGGGACCGGGGCAAATGGGTTTGGCAAACCTGCTGACGCAGGGAAGTGGCTTGTGCCAGGACTGGAGCCTCCAGCAACAGTCCAAAGGCCTGGATGCCCTAAGCTGCCAGYCCACGGCAGGCCACCTGCGTGAGCTGACCCTCAATTACATGCAGGGGAGCTGTAGGCTGTGGAGGCTCAGCCCTATCATGAATCCAAGCAGATTTCCATCAGAAAGCTGAAGAAACTGGTAAGTTCCTGAGACATTTTCTGAGAAGTGTTCTGAGCTGCTGCTCAGCTTCTCTATCGCTCCTTCTCCATATACCCTTCCAGATGCCCGCCTATCTCTGCTCATCAAATTCAAAGTAGGATTTCTCCAGGGACTCGTTATCTTGTCTCTGTTATGGAAAATGCTCCCCGCTGTAAATCTCATTCTTCTAACAGGCAGTGAAGAGGCCCTGACTTTTCATCAGAATCAGTTTTATGTTTGAAAGCAAAGAAAGCACATCAGAACTCAAAAATCACGAGTGTGTAACATATCCTCTTAATTCAAAGTTAGAATATCAAGGACTACAGAGGCAGGAAGGCCACACCAGGCAGCTGATTCCTCTACCTAAAAGAAGTAATTCTCAGCTTATCTTTGCAAGGATCTTTTCCTGCCAGGCAAGAGAACCTCTAAAGGGAACACAGTTGCATACGAGGCCTCAGTGTCTGCACCAGCATGCAAGATTTTCCTTCCAGAGTGAGCAACAAATAGATTCCTTGGAATTTACACTGTCCTTTGGAAAAGCTGACATGTAACAACACTCAATGACAAGAAATTTGAGACTGGTGGGAATCACATTCAAGTCTTCTAAAAATTCAACTGTGCCAGTCTAAAGAAAGAAAATGTCTGAAGGAGTTGTGTGTGATTACAAACAGGGCAGTGCCAACACAGTCAGATGGAGATTCTTCACAGCAGTCCTGCCTGCATTTCAGTGCTAGCTTTTACCATGCAGAGCACAGATCAGAAGTCTCAGGAAGTAGAGACATGGCCATTTTTTTTTCAAGAGAAAGGGGGATAAAGCATTTAGCCAAGATCACATAGAAAAACAGTACAAAAGAATGAATATGATTATTAATCTTAGAAAACAAATGTTATGCAACACAGCTGTTTTAAAGTCCAGATCCTCTCTGCAATAAAAGCAAGAGGACCAGCATCCCACTGCAAAACTAACAAACTAAYATTCACATTACCAGTGCAGGTGAGGTACCTGATCTCCTCATCCACGTCACTTTAGGCCTTCACAAATTTTGGCCTGCAAGACTTAAAACACTTTAAATGCCAAAGCAGCAGCACAGCTCAGTTCCTATTCATACCCGTAGGCCCATTTTTCACAGTATTATATTCTCCAACAACAAATCCTGAAGATTAATTAGATGTTCTTAGGCATTTTTCTGCCTGATTACGCCCAATAAGCCAATTAGGCAGTGAACAGCGAACACAGTAGCCCCCTCCAGTCAGTCTCTCCCGTTAATCCTGGCAGAAGGCAAGCAGACCTTTTCCAGAGGCTGGATCTCAGTTACCTTGTGTGTGAGAGCAGCGTAGAGCAGATATCCAGCCTGGGTGTGAACAATTCCTTTGGGTTTCCCGGTGCTGCCCGAAGTGTACAGCATGAAGAGCATATCTTCACTGTCCATGCTCTCTGGAGTGCACACAGAAGCTGCCTTGGCCATCTCCTAAGGGAAAAGAAATGGATGTATCACAGGTTTCACCTAGCTCACACACCTTGTGGAGAAGTTCCTGCAGCCACATAACAGCTAGTTCTCCTACTAACACCTCTGCCATGCTCAGAAGTCAAGGGTAAGGAAGCACATAAAGCAACACTTTAGGAAGAAAAGGGTAAGCACTGGCTGACATTTCAAGCCCTTGCTGTTAGAAAACCACAGTGTAGCTACAAACATGTACCCCMGTGCAGCAGTGGTGCTCACAGAGGGCCCACGTCCAAGAAACACTCAGCAGTTAGTACTACAGCCCCAAAGTACTGAGAAAGGGTGTTGCTTCTCCTCAGCAACCTGCAAGAGAGACCCTGCAAGAAAGTGCATGAGAAACAGCTTCCAGTCCTGCCCCTTATGCCTGAGCCAGGTAGAAGAGAAGCTCGAGCAAAGACGTGGCACAGAGCTGCACTGTGAAAAACAACTGGTCTACTTGGAATAATTTTCAAACCAAAACAGCAAAACTTTGGATATTGGTAGCAGAATGCCTGCTCTGTGCTTGCTCACTGCTGCTTCTGAGCCTTCCACCATCTGAAAAGCCTGGGGATGGCAAACTGGTAACGGCCTTTACATGAGGTAAAGGGCTAGAATCAAGACAGGCTGTGAATCAGAGGGCGAACTCCATGCCTAAAAGGTATTCCTGTAAGACACTTAGACCAGAAGGAAACCTTTCTTCCAGGGCAGATGAATAGCACGAAGGCACCTTGTTTCCAGTGGAACAGCMTCTTTCTATAGTTTGTCCACCCAGACTCAAAAAAAAAAAAAAATCAGGAAGATGCTGAATGTTTCTCTTAGCTGTGCACCAATGTGCAGCAATCACTGTGTGTTCCAGATGCTCAACATCTGGCTGCAAAAAGGCACAGCTGGCTTGCTTCTCTCAAACCCACACTGGCCTAGACAAATCCCGAATCCTGTGAGGATTACTAGAGGGTGCTTGGATGAGATTTCTAGCTATTTGAAAAATTATATACTGTAAACACACTTATTTAGAACTGAATAACAACAGATCCAATTGTTTAAAAGTGTCTGAATGAAGCTAAATAGAGAAAGAAAACCTGGCAGGGTGAGACCTATTTCTTATCCTCTGTTACAGTGTTACAGCACTGCTGCTCATCCCACTTATTTACTGCAACCCCTTAATGCTGTCAGTTCAGGCTGACTTGCCAGCTTTTGATACTAAGATCAAGTTCTCATGTGCTCTAGCACAACATGAGCTGAAATTTAAGTGTAAGCTTTTACAYATTAGCTGTAGTTCAATTAAGAAAGGAGATATGGGAGTGAGTTAGAAAAAGAGCCAGCCAGTCAGTATGGCATCACTGTTGTTCTCCACACTGTCCCACATTCTCATTGCTTCTCAAAAATTTGTATGAAGGACAAAAAATTGCAGATGGAAGGACAAACAAGAAGCCCTTGGTGAGTAGGGAAGAGATGARATGGACAGGCAGGACAGGACAGAAAGCACCTATGAGCTGGGAGACCAACGCAACCGTTGGTTGCTTCTGCTGCAAACATCAGGTATGAGAGAGTTAACAGCACAAACTGTTGAATTCTTGCTGTGTTACAAGGTTAACCCTACAATTGACAATAATGTGAGCTCAGTTTGTCTGCAGCCTTGGGGAGGGGAGAAACTTTGTATGYTTTTATGCTAGGTGGAGTAGGAAGAACTAGGACAATTTCTGCCTTAAAAAGTCCCTTTTCCTGTTTCACCCACCCACTAGCTGCTACCCTTTCTCCTATCTCATGTGACCAGCACAGGGACTCCTGGTCGCTGTCTTGTCCGCAGATGGGTGATTTCCAGGCATTGCTGTGATGAGCACTTTCTGCTTCTTGCTGCAGGCAAACYGATAAAACTGCTTTTGCATTAGTCTGCAGAGTCCCAGGCGTAACAGCTAAACACATTTAAATGACTGCTGCTTTCTTATCCAGGCAGAAAGGCTGCAAACATGCCCAAGCCATTGCATGATAGCAGTGGACTCAGGAAACACTTATTCCTTAAATCTTAGCTCTGCTGGCAAGACTACTAACATGGAGCAACACAGCATGCTGGAATTAATCAGTTGTAGACTGAGAGGCTTCATTTCACTGTCCCTACACACTGTAAATAAAGACAATGCATCTGAGAAGGAAAAGTCAGAGACCATAAAGCATCTCCTTTTCCTCTGCAGAGCTYGAGTCCAAAAGCCACAGATGGAGGGAGAGATCATCTAGCCAACACTGGGACGTCTAGGAAGGAGCTCTGCAGACTGCACGTGTACAAGTACCGACACCACCTGATCTTCCTTGGCTGCAGATTCTCAGCAKAGCGCACAGCAGACCAAAAGACCAATGCCCAGTATCAAAAGTGTGYACAGTCTGTGCATCCAGCCAGCTTCTCACACACTTGTTCCTAGCAGCCCTGCCTTGGTTCTTCCAAAGCTGTGTTAGCTGATGCCCACATCTGTTACAGTACCATGGTTATCTCCCCAAACACCGTAAACACCACGTATTTCAAAAAATGGCCAGAGTTTACCGCCAACGACATACTTCTTCCAGGGGAACATCGCAGTCACCCATCTGGACTTTGTTCTCTGTCCTCTGGGCCACAAAGACATGCTTGATACTTGGACAGTTCTTTACAGCTTTATCCACGGTTGTCTTCATCTCTATGATTCGGCCGCCCCTGACTCCCTGGTTGTAGGTGATGACTGCTTTGCATCCAGCTAAAAAGAGAGGTAATTAGTGGACATACCAGCCTGTTTTCTGATCCATACACCTTGCTTTCATTACACAACGCAATATGTCCAGCACATCACGCATGAAAAACACTCATAACTCAATCAAAAGCAGTCAGTGCCACTGGCAAAACCATTTTAAATCCCTCAAATTACCGAGATTAGAGGTAGTAGAGACCTCCAAATGTTGTCCATGCCCTACACCCCAAGGCAGAGTCAGTTCCAGCTAAACTATTCCTGAAAACTATCAGTTTAATCTTCCTAAAATGCTCCAGTGCCAGATACTCCACCAGCTCCCCACGAGCCTGCTCCCATGTCTGACTGCTATGAATATCTGAAAGTCTTACACAATGTCTAACTTAAGCACTCCTCACTGCAATTTAAGTCCATTTCTGTCCATCAAAGTCAAAATGCAGAACAGTTTACTCGTAGTTACGTATGTAATTGTGTACATCAGTTCTCTAGGCTAACAGCTTATCCACTGAAACCAGTGAAAATCTTTCCGCGACTTCAGCAGACCTTTTTGAACAAGCATCTTCACCCCTTTCTCACTCTTTGTGAGTCCTTTCCACACTTAACAGCACCAAGCTCAGCACCTTCTTTCTTAGAGGCACGTGGCTGTTTCACAATTGCAGATGCCTGCGGTCTTCTGAACTTCCAAGTAAACTTTCTGGAAGCCAAAGAAGCACCTACGAGTGCTATAAAACTGCAGATCCAGGAAGGTGCTTCTTTAGCCCGTCACTACCACGGCAATGGCCAGAAGTGAGACAGAAGCCTAAGCATGTGCTTGCTCTCTGTAAATCAACTCTGCCAAAGAAAATAAAGCATAAAACCTGTTGTAAGATTTATTCCTTTGCCCTACAAAAATGGATATAACTGGTAAGATGTAGTCATTTGCTATTTTGAGCCTCTGCTGTATTCTTAGTATTAGATTAATCACACTACAAGTGCTTTGGGTCAAGAACAGTTCTGTATGTTGGTGGCTAACAGAGTGCGGCCAAGTTGCCAACACTTCATTGCTGTGCATATAGAACACAATATAGGCTGCAGAACTAGCACTGTGTGTGAATATCAGAGAAATACTGTGGTTATCAGTCAGGTCGCATTCCGAATCTCCTGTCTTCCCTCTGGCTTTACTGTTGTCTCGCAGGAACCCAGAGCAGACTGAATGTTAAGCAATTTGTAAAGAATACGAAGGCCAGAGGATAGTCTGCCACTAAAGGCTTTTCATAGTACTTCTCACAGACTGCTGGGCTGTCCATAATATACCTTTTCCATCAAGAAAACGAGGAATTTGGCTAATGGCACATCTTGGAGGATGTTGAGCACTATCTAAAGAGGGTTGCTCCCCAGTTGCATCTACTTACAGTCCATGATTCTCCCGGCTAAGGATTCTGCGCTGAATCCAGCGAAGATCACAGTGTGAACGGCACCAATCCTGGCGCAAGCCAGCATGGCTGCCACAGACAGGGGGGACACGGACATATAGATGGCAACCTTGTCCCCTCTCTGTATCCCGTATTTCTTCAGGGTGTTGGCAAGACGGCAGGTCATGTCCAGAAGTTCCCTGCGGACAGAAGCAACGTTGTCACGTGATTGCACAGCCTCTTTTATGCAGGAGAGCAAAACAGGATGAAGCTGGACGGGGTGAGGCATCGTGGCCACCTCAGCAGCATATGGCACACTGACTCCTGTGCCTTAAGGCAGAGGGGACCTCTTGGTGGCCAGAATGTTCCTCCTTTGGGGAAGGAGGCAGAGGGGGACAGAGAGCCACACTAGCTGCAGAAGGATGAGCAGGTAAGAGGAGAAGCCACTGCCCCAGCAAGAAACCTTCCTTGCCCTCCYTGATGGGCTCTGGCAGGGGCAGAGCAAGCCAGTGTGCTCATGACCTCCAGAAGTGGTGTCCAGCTCATAATGCTCCTCCAGAAGGCAYTTGGAACACTAGTGAGATAAACGTAAGCTGAAGCCATCATCAAAAGATGYCATGTGCTGTTTCCTTTAAGTCAGGGAACTGCTGGAAGCACTTTACAGATGGTAGTTTTTAAATTACAAGGGTAAGCAAAGTATTTGCATATTGCTGCCGTGAGAAGAAAAACACAATTACTTCCTCACAAAAYGAAACCCAAGAACACTGAGAACAGGAACAAGGGCTCAGTTCACAGTATTTACCATTGTGACTGCTGACTTAATAGCAGAAACGTTCTTCTCAGGAACAAAAATGCACTTCATGGACAAAGACTTGCATRTGTCTGTTCTCTGATGCCTGCAGCAAGCATACCACGATTGCAGCCATGCCTCAGATGAAGATGCTGTCATATCTCATAAACAACTCTGTTCCCAGTGGAAAGACTCCAAGAAGAAGACAGATAAGACCAGGATGTGGTGTCCGGCAAGGAGGGATATTATACTAAGGAGAGAGTTGATCCTAGAGCAGGCAGCAGAGTCTTCCACTTACTGATGCCCAAGAAGAGGCTCAGAGTCTGCGAGGAACAAAACTTGTCTCCTGGGTTCAGGAGCTCACTGAGTATCAGGGCCTACAGGACAGAAGTATCTCGGGCTCCCTAGCAATGTGTGACCTGCAGATGCTGGGGCACCTGCAAGCTATTCCAGTGCAAAAGCTGAGAAAAGCAAATGCATTTTGGGGGTCTACATTATCAGAACAAGCTTTAAAGCACGAATCTACAAGTGGAGAGACTGAGCACAGCTGTGAAAAGCAAAGAAAAAGAACAAGTAACTTTTCAATAAGTGGCTATACCAAAAATAAAACTAACGTTCCTGATCAGACAGAAATTGTTTTATTTCTTTCTCTAAACTAATGCATGCTGGAAAAAGGCAAAGGCCAAGCGTTCCACAATAGAAATATCACAACAAAACCATGAGCTGAGTGAGTTATTTGGCATCTAACTGGTTTCGGACAAAAACCTCTCTGCACTGCAAGGGCAAGGAAGTAACAGAGATAAAAAGAAAGATACAGGGATGACTGGAGGGAAACTATCTCCCAGCCGTTTTTTGAAGATAAGAAAAACCAGCCTCCCATCCCAGCCACAGCACTTTGTGTTGCCTATTTCAAGGGTAGTATTTCTGTAGTATTAACTGAGTAGATCATTCCTGACGTGCAGTAACTTAGAGAGGCAGCCAACGTGTTTGGTGCCAAGGTCCATACGGCCCATTCTCTGGCACCAGTCAGTTAACAGCTGCCAGAACAGAGAGACTGCAGCTTTGTGGGAGGCAGATATTCAGTGTCTTTCCCCTGCACTGAATCTCATCCTTATCTCTTATAATTAGAGGTTGGCTTAAGCTCKAAAGCACAACATTTAATGCCTCTTTCCAATTGTTTTATAAACACAGTACTGCATATCCTTACTAGCTACATAAACATGCAGTCTGCTGGCTGTATTTCTGCCTACTCTAATGAAGTTCATGAACTGAACAACTCCTTAAAATAACCAATTCCCACATTTGTTCTTGCTTCTTGTCCTAAAGGGCCATATTTTCTTGTCTAGAATTCATTTGATGCTGCATTAGAGAAAAATCTCCTTCTGGATAATACGAAAGAGAGAACAAAACTGATCTTTGCTGCTGCTCAGCTCTAGAGCACAGAAAATGAAGTAAGTCCCAGAAAGGCAGTTGTGAGAAAGCAAAATGCAGTTATCTGCAATGAAAAAATACATGAGTGCTTTTAGACCTGCAGCCTCTTCTCTTGCATAGTAATGCCAAGAGACATATGGTTAGCATGTCCTTTCTGAACAACTCCATGTTTCACTTACTTAGTTAGGACTCAGTTAACAGCAACAGCAGAAGCCTCCATCGGCTTTTACAATTAATTCCAGTTTAACATTTGCTTAATGAGAATGTTTGAGATGCTGATAAACAATGTGGAGTTGGTACACGTGCTTCTCAGATCTCTTTGCTTTGCCTTGTGCTCTGAGAGGCCCAGATGGGAAGGCGCCGCTCTGCTCTGCKCCCTTGGAGGTGGAGCCCATGAGGGAATGGACACAAAGGTTCAAGAGGCCACAGAGAAAGCAAAGCCAAGATCTCTGTCAAAGAAATCCACAAATCCCTGAGCACTGGGCATGTCTCCTCAAAAACCAGCTGTGGCAGAAGCAAGGAGCATCTACCACAAACATAGAGCAGACACTGAACAGAGCTGGACACGTCACCCTGGAGCCTGGAACACAGTGATAACCAGAGCAGCTTCATGGGGTTGTGCCTGTGCTGAAGCACGGGACACAAAGGTAAGAAGAAGCAGTTTTAGAGGAAAAACCTCTACCCTGAAAGGCTTTAGCCTTTCCAGTAAAGGACAGAGCTCAGAGCAGACACACACCGTTTCTTAACATCACCAAAAGAGAGAAAGGCAAAATCCAAAACCATGCTCAAACTCTTGCCACCTGCCTGCCCTTGCAGATGCGCTCAATTCACTCACCAAAGCAGACTGTGCCAAGCAGGGCATTATGTTCTGCAGCAAGAGGCGAGGAGAACCGCTTGGGACTGAGAGAGGAGGCAGGCCCAGGGAGCACCCCAGGGACAGCAGGCTCCCTGAGCGCAAGTCTGACGGGAAACAGCAGGATCTCAGCGGAGCAGCTGCTGGAGTAGGAACCGTGCTGCAAATACAGGAAATGTCCAGCCTTTTGAGCACAGAAAGCTGAGAAATTGCAAAGCCAGTTAATGCACAATAGAGCACGGCCCCTCTGTAAAACAGATTTTAAAGGGCAAATCAAATGAGTCAGACAGTGGGACTAGAGAGTGGATRAAGTATCAGGGTAGAACTGAGAAATTAGGAATAAGCAACCTGCTGGCCCCAGGTTGCATGACTCCAGGCAAAGGGATCTTTGAAAACAAAGTACACACAGGATATAGTAACAAAGCCAGCAATATGGTTGACACATTAATGAATACAGGCAAGGAACATAAAAATAATAAGTGGAGAAGATTCGGGACTTGCTTTCTGAAGAAAAATACCTTTCAACTAAAAATATGTACAAGAAGCCTGAACCACTCTTTGAACTGTAGGTGTGAGAGGAAAGAGCCGCTGAATATGGATTTCACATGAACGCAACCAGGCAAAAAGCAAATAGCCAAAATGCACATGGAAATGGCAGTATGCCAGATGGATCCATTGCAGCTCTGCTCTCACTCTACCTCTGCAGAGAAGGGTCTAACTTATCCCCTCCAACCAAGCACCCTGGAACTCGGAGGGAAACACTCTTAACCCACAGACACACCTGTGCAAGGTGAAGGACACATGAGGACAAGCCACACACAAGAGCAATACAAATACCCCATAGTCCTGTAACACAGGATCGCCTTTGCTCGGAAGAGGTCACAGCTTTGTACCGAGTTTGCAAGGCCTCAGCAATGAAGCTTATTAGGCTTGCTCTGCCTGAACCTTTCTTGACATATCTCCAGCTTTGTTTCTCTTGGTTTAGCTGCAGCAGCATTTTTTCTAATTGACCAGGTGGCTATGACTAATCTGCTCTGTTTATCTTTCTATGGTACCATCATGGTTTTATGAGTCTAATATAATGATATAGTACAGAAAAATACAAGCCTGGGATGATAACGGAGGCCCTGAGAATTGTTGATATTGGCATGGGATGACAAGAGGTGCTGGAGGCCTCATGCTGCTATCAACTCACCAGAGGTCAGCTAAAGAAAGGCAGACCTGGAGCTACAAAAAAATAGTGTTAGTTAGTAACAAAGACAAGAAAAAGGATCGAACACATATAAGAGTCACCACGAATAATAAAGCTGGAACATCTTCATGGACCTGCAGAGCAATGAAGAAAGATCAAGGTGTAAAAGCACGGTAGCAAACATAAAGCAAGAGGCTTCTAGAGTGATGGAGAAGAAACCATCAGCATGAACATCATATTCCTGCTGGCGAAGGACTCCCCAAGCTGATGACACCCCCAGCAACTTTTCTTGAGAAAGAAACAACCAGACCTAGAACAAAAGGGAGCAGAGGAAGAGCGAGTAGAACAGTGGGAAAAAGTGTACTAACTAAAAAGTGTGCATATAGCAATTTTAGCTATTCTTCATTTTTTCTAAGTAGATCTGTATGAACGCTGATTAGACTGCTACGATTTCAATTTTACTGTTTTACTTGCCTTTATATAGCTAAATTGCAAGGGGCGGGGTTGGCCCCTAAAAGGTTGTGAGTGCTAACACTGGTCCATTCCATGGATTGATTCAAGACTTTTAACTCAGCTGTCAAAGCATTGATAAGCCAAGGGCTGCAAGGCTGGCTCTTCAGCATAGCCAGTAAATCACTGTTCAGGCCAATATTTCTTTTTAAGCCATCATCTGGATAGATACAGTGCTTCTGACCCTATCTTTATGCCATCTCCATTCAGAAACTTCCAGATTGTATTTGTCTGCACTCCCTTCCCAGCTCCAGTTGTGCCTGTGTTGCTAAAGCCCATCAGTCAATGTCTGGAACAAAGACTCTTGCAAAAGCAACACTGGCCCTTCATTCTCCCCAAAGAAAGGTTTTTGCCAAGAACTCCGATGTTATCTTTCACTGCAGCAAGATGGCGTGCAGCTTTCCACAGAAAGGAAGCCAATTCTTTCTGCATGAAATAAAAAAATGCATCAAAACTTTTTTTTTCCACAGCATTTTTAGGTATTTTGCTAATTCAGTTAATGCCTATGCCTGGGCTTTACCAGTATATTTTTAATTAAATAGCTTCAGCACAAAGGACATGCTCTGTTGCATAAGGCTGGGTTGAGTATTTCTTGCCACGAAGAGTTTATTTCCTGGAGACACAGAACTGGATACGCCTGAAAATACTTCAAAATTCAGATCTATTGTGCCAACGAGGTTGTTTATTATTATTATTACTATTATTATTATTATTATATTTAATAATATAGTATTATTGCTTAATAATAACAATAATAGGTATAACAGCCAAGAGCTGAACATTTCATCCCCTTTCCTAGCTGTTGCTGTACATGATTTCCCATAGAAGAGCTATAGCTCAAAACACTGGTTCACATGCCCTGGAAGAGAGCAGGTATCCTCACCCCATCTCTCCTTCCTGCATCAATGCTCTTCCACAGGGATAATGCCCAAACTTCGTCACCCTCCTTGCAGATTCCATGAGCAGTGCTGCAGTTTGACCCACTCATTTTCCTCATTTTCTGCTAAAAAGAGAACATAGGCCTATCTTTTTCACCTCAACATTTTTACACATTAGTGTAATAATTTTTTTTAAAAAAAAAAGGTTCAGTATGATTTCTTTTTAATTATAGATTCAATTACTAAGCCAAAAAATCCACTCTGACAACCCTCCAGTTTTTCTTCAGACATCCTGATCTCAAGATGATGTCAAGACCTTGCAGACATTTTCAGGTGAGCAAGTGAAAAGTCCCCAGAGCTGCGTGGGATGGGGTAAGTCTTTATGCCCTGCCAAGATTTCCTGGCCAGCTCACCTTAGGAAGCCAACACTGAAAAGCCAAGTAACAGTTTGCTACCACTAAGGAACACCCAACTTTTGACATTATACAACCTACCCACGCGGCATCTGAACCGCCCTCTCTGTTGCAATCTCTGACCCAATCTCAACCGTTTCAACTCTGGCTGATGAACCACCACGCTGGGGTTTCTCTGGAGGCAGCTGCAATGCAGCTAACGAAGGTGTTCAACCATTACCCCACACGTTAAGAAGCTACTCTAGGCTCCAATTCCTGCCCCTCATACCTTCTGCTTTCTTCCCCTTAACTTACAGCTCGCATTTTGACCAATATGCCTCTGAGAGGGACTCCTACCCTCTTGCCACGCTAGTGCCATTCGTTTGCAACCCGACGGGCTGCCTGCAAGATCTTGAGCAGTCTGACAAAGCTGCGACCCATCCTGAAGGCTGACAGTCAGATTCAGCCAATTAGCAGGATATTTACCAAGCACTTGGCATTACTTTGCTCCTCGGGGTTTGTGTACATGAGTTTTGCACTGCTAGGTGACACTTGTTCTCATGTGGCTACGCCGGACAGGTCGGTAAACAAGCTAATACTGATGAGAATAAATAACCCCACTGCAGGCAGGGTTTATAGAGGCTGTAACCCAGCAGCTCCAGCCATGAACTGTCTGCTTGTACACCAACTGGTAATAAAGCACACTAAAACCTAAGCTCAGCAACATCCCAGGAAATTCCCTTGCAAGGTTCCCATGCTTTCGGGTCCCACAGAAAAGGACAAAACCCTGTCAGCTGGGCCAGACGCTTCCACCACACTTTACTGTGATTTTTAGCCTGCAGGCAGTAGGAGAGGTTGACCTGATCCCTCTCTGCTTTGCAAACTGACACTGCCAAAGCTCAGGACAATGGCAGGAGCTGCTGCTGCAGAGCAGTAAAACAGAGTTCTCCTGCCTTCTCATTCCAACCTGGAGACTATTAGAAATTAAGCTGAATTTCTGCTTGATGGAAAATGAAATTCCCAGGGAAGAAAAAAAGAAAAAGGAAACGCACAAGGAGGAGTAGAGATTTTTTTTCCTAAAAGGTTGAATGGCATTGGCTGGAGAGAAAGGACAAACCACTATAGTGAAAGAGATAATTTGAGAGAAGGCTGCAAAGCAGTGACTTGAGCATCCTGATGCTCTCATGCCATTTAAGATGGCTAAGTCCCCCTCTCTGCTGCAGGAAGGAGGTGCTGAGGTTGCTCTAGGAGCCAGGTGCCCTCCAGCAGGTTAGAGCTTCTCTCTTGGGTAACCTTGGACTGCCAGGAAGATGGAAAGGAGTGGGGAGGGCTTTCCAAAGAGGTAATTTAGTTTTATAGTAGAGACTTTTATAAGATGATAGGTACTCACTACAGGTGAGCTGCTAAGTGCTGCAATAACCATTCAAGCAAAGCTGAAAGGTTTTGCCCACTGCTTTGGGGGAGCTTTGCCAAGAAGGTGGTGTTAGAATTCCCTTCCTGGTGGGAAGGAACACTTAAATACAGTTGTATGAACACAACCTGCCTGGCTGACAGCCATGCAGGACTGCAGCAGAACTTGCTTTGCCCAGTGTGAGCCAAGCAGCCAGTGGGGTAGCAACGCAAAGAGAAGCTCTTCCTACTCCTGAGCCTGAATAAGCTCGTGCAGCACTTTCAAACACTGCTGCATTTTCAGCCAGTGCATGGAGGAGGCCCTTCTGCTTAAACAATTAAGCACATTGATTGTTTATCCTTCATCCCTGAGGMAGAAGCAATTCCTGCCCTTTTCCTGCTCAGCAGCTCGCTTCCTTTGCGAGCTAAAATGGGCAAAGGGCCAACACTCTGCTGTTTGCTTGCTGCTGACAGCTCCCCAGAGGAGCAGGGAGAGCATCCACCCCAGCAGCTTTATCTTTCCTCATGCCTCCCAAGGTTTATCAGCAAGAAGAAAATGCTCATAGCAGCCAGCTTGGCAAGACAGATAGTGGAGCAAATGGGTGCACTGCACTGCCTAGCACTTAAACCCTAGGCACGTCCAAGCTGAACCTCCAGGATCTGCCTCAAGGCTGGCCAGCGAGACCAGCAAGCAGAGATCAACTACTAGAGGTCTGGGTCCTCCTGAAGCCCAGCATCTCCTTCACAGCTGCAGCTTTCACTTGGGGCCTGTCCTGCACTGAAACCAACACGGAGAGATGACCCTACTGCAGAAGGCTCGCTGGGGATTCCTGAGCTGGCATCACAATTTCTGCACCACCTCTTTTTTTATAATAGATGTCCCCCGATAAAACTTCCAGACAAAACAAAATATCAATCCAAAGTATTTTCAGCTGAGGTCAACTTAAGTGGGAGGTCAGTACCAACATGCCCTGGAAAATCCTACCAGTTAAAAAAWTTTAAAACGCAGCCCAAAGTCCATAGAAGAGGCTGCTAATTCAAGAGAAAACATTTTATTTTTTCCTTGCATACAGCCTTACTCTGCCACCGCTTTCAGCACAGCTATTCCTGATTTAGCAGGGAGATGTGGAGAGTCAGGCAGTCTGTTTTCCCACAAGAAAATTCTCGTGATAAAATGTGTTACTAGAATGCAGCCACATCTCACCACGGGTGCCACCAGCATCAGACAGAAACAGGGATACAGCTCTCAAAATTTGAGAGCCAAGGTTGCCAACTTGTCCTTCATCACATTTTCTCCTTTTTTTGGTTGCTAGATATCATATCTTGGCATAACTACATAAAGATGGACTCAGTTTTCAGGGTGGGCAAGCTGTCTTCAAGCCACTGCAATCCCAGATCCACAAGCAGGAACAGGCTTTCCTCCAAATATATCCTCTGAGGATAACGGGAGCTCAAAGCACGTCAGGCAAGTCCTACCTCCCATCTACCCCTATTTTCACACCTAGGACAGGAAGAGTACGGTAAAAGTACATTTATCATCCCAAGTTCCAGGAGAAACTCTAGATTTTACCTCCTTTTGCACTATCAGGATGGCAAAAGCAAAATTCAAAGCATTTAGCTAAGCTACCAAGCAGGCTGTGACCTACTTGTATCATAACATACTTACAGAGCAGGTCAAATAACAATGCTGAGATTAAGATCAACCAGCTTCCTCTATGATTATATACAAGCCAGCATTTATTTCTGCTGCCTGATGTACTAACCTCTCGTAGCTCTCAGTACGCCCATTGCTCCCTGCTGACCAGCTTTGTCCCTCCAACCAACGATGTTTCTAGAAGCTTGACAAATGCTGAAGGTGAAACAGGCTGAAACCTATTTATAGTCAAAACGTTTCAGGAATCCCATCTGTCCTCATGATGCAGAACATGGCTTGTAAAACTGAGAGTCGATTGGCAGGACTTTTTACATCTCCTGTGCTCTCTGATCCAGTGGGTGATCAATCCTCGAGCTGCCTCTGGGAAGCACTAAAGAACATACAAATCTGGGCAACCTTTAACCCTTCTTGGAGTCAACACAGAGGCATTTTTGCAGGCAGGACTGTTCTGCTACTGAAGGTACTCACCATGGAGGAGGTAAATASGTTTGAAAGCTGTCACCTTCCAGCAAATCTTAGCACTTGTAGCAGCAATTATTAGTTGGCACCTATCCTCCTATCCTGCCATACATTATGCAGGTATCTGAGATCAGAAAGACCTCCCCATGAGGAAACCAAGGTAAGAGTGTCATTTCTGGGTGGGAACATGACTCCATTTTTCAGCAGCTATCTCATCGCAATACAACAGCTCAGCACCAAAGCAGAGCATCACAGACATCAGATTTCATAGAAGCAGCTCTTTCCCCAGGCCTACCACACTGTGAGGCATCGTGAAGCTTGGTACCTGGGAAGCTGGCATACCTGTATGTAACATGCACTGCAGATCCAGGCTCATCTCTCTCCCAAATCAAAGCCACTCTGTCCGGAGACTTCTGGACATGTTGATCCAAGCAATTTACTGTAAGAAAGCAGAGGTTTAAACAAAGACTGATGAAACACAAGGTGTTCTGTAACCTTAGCTTGGCCACGCATAGGGGCAAGTGAGATGAAACATCAGCTGGTAAGCTAGCTGGCCACACACTCATTTATGACCCTGGGAAATGTTCTCCTTTACCATATTTGTAGTAAGATACTCCGTTAAATCACTACAACTGCCTTGGAGATGGCAACCCCCTGCGAGGACTTGGCCAGTTCAAGTCGGCTCAACTCCGCTGAGACCCAAGTGATCCGTGCTTCAACCAGCAGGTCATCTCTCCCCTGCTCCCACCAGCACAAAGATAAGACTTGTCCATGATCATGTCCTCTCCAGAATGGCATTTCACTACATAAACCTGACAGGTTCTTTCCTAATTTGCATTTTTAGCACTACATTATTTGAGTTTTCTAGTCAGAGCTCATGCAAAATATCCCTCACCCCCCAAAGGCACAGTGGGAAAGCCGAATCTCTCACCTAAATGAAAACATGTAAAAATCTGGGATCTAGCATAAGCTCAGAGACTTCAGTGAAGCCAAGGAGGGTGCACGGGGTGTCAGTGAAGCTCACATAAACATCTGACAAAGGTGTTATGCTGTGGGCTTCACCTCCTGTGATGTGCTGTGATGTGATGGCTGAAGTACCTCCGGAGAGACATCCCTCCCTCCAGCAGTCACAGAGGAAATGTGGATGACTGTGCGAGCTGGGATGGTCCAAGTGAATTGGGAGGGCACCTGCCTCAAAGGAGCTTTTAAAGAATGCACTCAAGAAAGCTGCCTGCATGTTCAGCATTGCCTCATAGTTAGAGATTAACCCTCCAAGGTGTTAACTCCAAGCCTGCACTTGGAGTACTCATTATAAACGTACTAATTTCATCACATTCTTCTAAAAGCAGTTGTTTTATTTTAATATAACTGTTATTAAAAAAAAAAAAAAAGGCACCATAGAGAACCTTAAAAAAAAAAAAAAAAAACAGTGCTTCAGATCAGATTTCCTGGAAGTGTTCTAAAGTCTTTTACTTTTTAACTTTTTAACGAAAATTCCTGCAGAAATACTCTAATGAAAATAAAAAATATTCTTATATCATCTCAGTTTGATACGAGAGGGGAAATGCTCTCCTCAGGAATGCTTCAGGAATTTATTATACAGTTTCCTACAAGAATGCTTTTGTCAGCTCACAGACGATGAGAAGCATTTTGGTGCAGGACTCCTAGCATTTCCCACCTCCGAGCTCTTTGTAGCAACAGCCCTCTGTACTGCACCACACTGCCGGTAAATCCCATGAACGTGGACTCGTTTCCCCAGCAACATTTCTTCTTCCTCACGAGTGGCAGGAGTGCCTTTCAGGGGGAATTTGTGCTGCAATAAGCCYTGCTGAGCCAAGGGTGAGCTCGAGCTTGAGCTCTTTGCTCAGTAAGAACTCACGGGTGAACCAAGGCCAGACGCTGTGAACTCATTCCTGCTTTTACCAGTGTCTTCCATTCACTTTACAGAAGTAAACAGTGACCTTCCCCTCGTGGCTACACTGCAATGGGTTTTCCACACGCTTTCTTGCCTTCTCTGTAGTGCTTGGAAAAGCACGTAGGAACTTTTTACATGAGATGTGCTTTCGGTAGTCTCTATTTTAGCATTTAGTGCCTGCAGGAGAAGAGCCAGATGCAAGAAATGAACCAAATGGCCCCACTATCCAGAGGAAAGGAAGAGATTCAAGCATCTCTCTGCTCAGCCAGCATCTTCCCCTCAGCAGGAATAACTTAAGCCTCGTACTGAAGGCTGGCTACAAACCTCCCTTCTCTCCGGCTCTCAGGTGCTGGAATGAAATCCGGGTTTGCACCTCTCTTCATCGGGGGCCCACAGCCAGGAACCCTCCCGCAAGGACAGGTGCTTGGCTCTGTCCCCCRCGAGACTGCAGGAGGGTTTGCTCTTTTGCTCTGAAACACCGTGTTTGGAGATGTCCCAGCTTCTGCATTCCTGAAGAGCAGCCTGGCATTCCAAGCACTCTCTCCAGAAAGGAGAGGTGAGGGTAGACACACTAAGTTAAACTAAGGACTCCACACCAAGCTTCACACTAGTCAGGGGCCGGGGCTTCCTCCGCTGCCTTCCTAGGCCTGCCCAGTGCAGCTGGGGAYGCTTCTCCATGGGCATCCTCGCCACTCGCGGCCTTGGAAACACAGCGGTCACAACAACGCAGCTTCTCTTCATCTTCTCTTTCTTTGGGCGATGAAGTTGGAAGCAACCACCCAGATCAGCTCCTCATTTACGACAAAAATAGTTTTAAAAGCGTTGCCTTTTCCCTGTGGCTGGGAGTACTTCACAACAACTTCCCCAACAACTTGAGCGCAGTTCCTGCTCCTGCCCCCAGCCAGGGCCCGGGCGGGAGCGGCCGCGGGCCAGGAGCCCGAGCGGGCGCGGGGCTGMCGCCCTGTCCCACCACGGGCCGTGGGGCCGCCTGCTGCCGCCCCTGCAGACCCAACGGTGCCAACGGCCGCCGCCAACGGCCGCGCGGGCGGCGCTAACGGCCGCAACGGCCGCGCCCGCCGCAGCCCCCCTGCCGAGGCGATGCCCGGCGGCGGCGCCGGCCTTACCGGAGACGTTGAGGCGGCCGCCGAGGAACCAGCGGGCGGCGCCGGGCGCGCCGGCCTCGCACGCCGTGTGGAAGGGGCTGTCCCAGCGCAGCGCGCCCCGCGCCACC